TAAGTCGGATCCGCAGTTACGAACGGGGCCCTCTCCCTGGTCTCCAGCAGACCAGGGAGAGGAAGCAAAGCGGCGGAACACGTGGGCAGCGGACAGCCCAGACGCGTCTTGGCTGTCCGCTGCCCTCGTGTTCTGCCGCTCTGCTTCCTCTCCCTGGTCTGCTGGAGACCAGGGAGAGGGCTCCGTTCGTAACTGCCTGTAATATAATTCAGAAATTAGGAACTGTAGAAAATTAAGGGAACCAAGAGACATGCGAAAAAAAATCTGTCAGCAGAATTAAGGATTGTATAAGGATTAAGGAAGTCAGCGGAATAGGGACTTGTTTCAAAATCAGTGCTGTGATCAGTAACATGCCGGCGAGATCATGCTAATGAAACGTGGGATATTTAAATCCCCGCTTCATTGACTCTTTCGAATGCCTGCATTTGCATCCCTAGTTTGGACTAGAGTGCAAGTGTAGACATACTGTAAGAGAAGTGTAAGAGGATCCAATAGTTGGAAGTCGAAGCTAGACAAATTGAGACTGGAAATGAGGGATAAGAGTTTCAGTGAGTCATTAACCCGTGGAACAACTAACCAAAGGTCATGGTACCCATTTATTTAAAAATTAATCTATTTCCAGAATATATTCTCTAGAGTCTGTTTTGGGAAGATTTTATGGCTTGTGTTAAGCAGGACTTCAGGTTAGATGATCATTGTGGTCCCTCCTTGGAAGAAATGAATCTATGAAAATGGAGAGAACAATGCTCCAACCTGAGTGTGAGTCTTAAAAACTGCTGACTGTGTCTGCAGGCTGGGAATAACTATACCTTTCATGCTGATTGAAGCAAGAATCTCCATCTTTGATTGCCACGTTTGGCCTTAGGGATTCTATTTTGAATCTAAATTATATGGACTGATAAACAATATGCTGTAAATTGATACTTGATATCCTTGACGAATGATAGTTTTGGTGATCTTTGAATTATTTTTCCCCTGGACAGGATGGAAGAGTCAGAGGGTGCGTCCATACTACACCGTTATTTTGAGATAACAATGCGAGCATCTACACAGCCATTCCATTATTTCGAAATAATGGACAGCTTATTCCAAAATCTGTAAACCTCATTCTACAAGGAATAATGCTTATTCCAAAATAGCTATTTCGAAATAAGGCATGTGTGGACACTCCACTGCTGCTATTTCAAAATAGCCCCTGACCAGGCCCATTCGAAGTTATTCCTCCCCAGTGCCTCCTGGGGCTCTTAATCAAGATAGTATGTCTACATTAGAGAAGCTTGTCTTGGAGTAATTTTGAAGATTCCCTGCAGTGTAGACATGCTATTTTGAAATAGTTATTTCGGAATAACTATTCCGGAATAGCTTATTTTGAAATAAGCATGCAGTCTAGATATACTCAAAGGAAATACATTGTATTCAAATGTCTTAAATGCAACTAAATTTGTCTGAGAACCTTTCCCACACTCGGCAAGCCCCAACCCATTTTTGTCTCTCCTCTTGACGAAGAACAGAGAAGGCATGGCTGACTGCTAGGATTTTTGGTGGTACTGAGATTAGAGCTTTTTACCTCTAGAGTCTCATGTGGCAAGAGAGAATGAACAGGAATCTGTTGTAATGAATGTTGAGGCTGGATAAAGACTTTATGGCTATGCCTGCATCCATAGGTCCTTCACTCACTCAGTTTGTTGCCTACAATGACTACACTTGATGTCTTAGTCATGATCTAGATTAGCCTTCATGTAAGGAGCTGAAGACAAGTGTACGGAGCAACATGGTATGAATAATAGACTGGATTAGTAACTCTTGAATGCTGATGCTATCTCTTGTAATTTTTGTCAAGTTATTTGACCGTCTTTCTTCCAGTTGCTGAATATGGGGTCAATGTTTCTTGGGGAATGTTATCCTGCATATTCGTAAAATTGTTTAAAGATTAAAAGGGTGTATATGCTTATTGGTCATTACTGGGTAATTCTGAATGGTGAAGTAACTGTTCCTCAACTTATATAGAGGCTGCACCCAGATTGCAGTTGCTTAGGCCCGCTACAGTTTTCTCTTTTCCTAGTTTCTGCGGATGTTTGGGGTTCTACAAGAGTCTCATGTTTTGCTGCAAGGAGTGCTGAATTCCTGAGAGAATGCTAGCCAGCCAAACTTGTAATCAAAGTTCTAGGATCCAGAGTAGGGATATACAGGAATTCATATTTCCTTCCATTCAGATACAGCTCGTAACAAGATCAGTCAAATTGATGATATAGGAGACTTGGATTTAAATTCTTCTGTCACTTCCTGTGCATGTGGAGGGACGTTGTGCTGTGTGGAATTTATACAAGAAAAGCTTGCTTACAAGGGGAAGGAGAACAATTTAATGGATAAATTCATGATGGCAACAGTCTGTGGTGACACTTGTCACTTATAGAAATTTGCCAGTGGTAGGGGAAAGTTCTGTTTGACTGTTCTCTTTCCATCCTTTAGTTATCACCTAGAACAGATGCATGGATGAAATGAAATGAAATCTTTTTTCCTGTTAGGTTTCTAAGGGTGTGTCTAGACTACAGAGTTTTGTCGACAAAAGTGGACTTTTGTCGACAAAACTATACCTGTGTCTACACTACCGCCAAGTTCTGTCGACATAACGTCGACAGAACTCAGCAGTTTTGTCGACGCTGGTAAAACTCATTTTACAAGGCATAATGCCTTTTGTCGACAGAAGGTGTTGTTGCATCTAGGGTTATGTCTAGACTACAGGGTTTTGTCGACAAAGCAGCTTGCTTTGTCGACAGAACTGAATGTAGTCTAGACGCTCTTTGTCGACAGAAGCTTTGTCAACAGAAGCTTTGTTGACAAAACCCTGTAGTCTAGACGTACCCTAAGAGAAATGTTCCTTATTCTTTTTCTCACTTTCTCTTTATTGCCCCCAGGGTCTTGCATGACCTTGTTGCATTGGTTTCATCAGGAACACAATCTCCTTTATATGTTTGATCTTTTTTGGAGAAGGAGACTCTGGGTTTTTTTTTTTTTTCTTCCCTTTGTCTTCCATCTTATAGCCTTGGTTCAGATTCCAGGTTCATGATCTTACTTGGGTTTCTGTGCATGAAAATCTGTGGAGTACTTTTTCAACTGTAGAAGTGTAACCATGACACCACTTTTTTTCCCCCATGCATGTTTAGTAGCTTTAATTTAGTAGTTTTGTAAAATGTCTATCATTATGTTTAAAAATTTAATTACTGCAGTTGACGAAACAACTTCCAAACACAAGTGGTATTTGAAGAGCTGTGTGGATTGACAAGTGACTAACAGAGTAAACAGTTCCATTCTGTTCCGATATCCCATGGTGTGATGCATTGCTACAGATACCATGTAAGCCTCAGGAAATAGACACAATCCAATTTTTATTAAACTCTTGATGCCAATGTATGTTGATGTTATTGCTAATTAGCAAACTAAATGCAAAACTGTTTCTTCTTCCTGTCAAAAGCTGTGATGTTGCTGCCTTACAGAGTTTTAGTAATATATAAATCTAATACAGATGTTATAATTTTTAGTTATGTACTGATATTGGTATTGTTGCTAATCACTTTCTTTCAGTTTATGTATATACAAAATAGAAGTGCTCATCTAGAGTTGTAGGTGCCTTTGCTGTATATCTCAATAAGTAAGCAGCAAAACCAGTAGCAACTTCCTAACCTCAAAACCAATAATTACCATCCAGAAAACCTTCAAAGTCAAACAGCTGCCTGCACTGCCCAATTATGAGCCTCTCTGTGTACCTTGGTCTTGCAAAAAGACTGGGAAAATAGATAGGCTCATCAGTGTATCCTGAACATGACCAACTATGGGCTCTTTTGGACTGAGGGAATTAGATGGATGGATGTCAAGGTCATGAGCACCTCAGGACAAATGTCCTACTTCTTGAACATCTCACCTGGTGCTGGTAACCATGGTATTAACAGAGAAGGATGTGATATATGAGGTAAATAGGTCTATAAAAATGCAAAAAGTTCTAAATTTTTCTTTACTGTTTTCCAAGTGAAGGTTTCACTTGATAGCTATGAGGGATCTGGAGCTCTAATACAGGTTGGACCTTCCTGGTCTGACACCCTTGGGTCTTGATGGGTCCCAAACAAGGGATTTTTCCAGACCAGAGGAAAGGTCACTTCTGGACACCTCTCCCTCCCCTACCCCCTCCCCCCCTCGCCCTTCTCTGCTCTTGTCCTGGTCGCTGGCCTCCCAGCCAGCTCCCGTACCCTGCTACCGGCTCAGCTGAGCTTACAGTCAGCAGGGTGCTGGCTCCCTTGCCACAGGGCTCCACCTAGGCTATTGGCAGACACCTGAGCTGGATCCTGGAATCAGCTGCTGATCAGTTTCAGCAGCAGCTGACTTGGGGACGCCTGGGGTTCTTAAGTTGAATCTGTATGTAAGTCGGAACTGGTGTCCAGATTCAGCCGCTGTTGAAACTCATCAGTTTCAACAGCGGCTGAATCTGGATGCCAGTTCCGACTTACAGATTCAACTTAAGAACAAACCTACAGTCCCTATCTTGTACGTAATCTTGGGACTGCCTGTACTCAAAGAATTACGTTGTGTAAGAAAAAAAAATTAAGAAATCCATGGACTACTCAAAACACTGAATACACACTTGCAAAGAATAAAATTAGAGACTGTAACATGTACAAATGTGTTAGATGAGTGTGAAAGATTATATATTTGTGAGACTGTGTACTTGCTGCTGGGAAAGCTTGAGAGACTCCATTCACTGTCTCTTTAAGGTACTCACTGAAGGCTATCCTGCTGTCTCCTGAGATGGGGTATGGTGGAGATCTGGGGGGGAGAGGGGAGAGCAGGCTTGATAGCACAGTCTGGGGTAGTTAAGAACTCAGACTGCAGCAGCTCTGTGTCCTGAACCAGGCTGTTACTGCTCTCCCACCTCCTCCATGGAGAGAAGGTAGAGGGCAGGGGGACATCCTGACATCACCTCCCTCCTACTTTCACAGCCAACAAGAGGGTCCCAGAAGCAGCTGCAAGAGCAACATGACTGTAGAATAACGGGGAAGGGGCACCTGAATGTTTGCTGCAAGATTTGTGCACTCTGCTAATCAACTATGCAGCACTTAAAGCACTCCTGGTCAGCTGCGCACCTTATCGGGAACATAGCCTGTACCCCCATGTCTCTTCTTTGAACAAAAAACTCCTTTACATCCTTTATCAATTCATTTGTTTGATCACTGTTTCCCTTCCCTATCAAATACCCTGCATAGTTTGGTTAAGGAAAGAGGGCTTCTTCCTGGCATGTTTCTCTCTAACCTCCTCTTCCTTCCTTTCATCTCGGGACAGGGGTCAGTGTCCCCACTCTGACCTGCTGCATGACTACTGCATACGTACTCTGAGGCTCTCTATCCCTTAGAGGACACATCTTCCGAAATGCTAAACTATCTATCTTTATTCCTCCTAACGTATGGTCCTCATTTATACAATTTACTATTGGGGCCAGTATGATTTTTTTTTTTCCCCACTCCTATTAATGCAGAGGAATATGCAATAGGAGGGAATGGCAATAAAACTCAGCTTCATAAAGCAGGTTGCTTATTTCAGGGTATTTAAAGTTTTAATCTAGGAATTCAGTAGATTGCAATTTGACAAATTACTCTTAAAAATCAAGCAATAAATATATTTTTTAAAAGTCTGATAATACATAGTCCTGCTTTGTTAGTCTGGCATTGCCACTTTCAGGGACTTGTACAACAGTGTGTAGAATAGCTCAAATAATTCAAGGTCTATGAGCTAGTATTTTTCTCTGTGTGCTCCACCTTATGCTGTGAAATCCTCACTTTGATTTAATTAAAGGAAAAGTGTATATATAGTTTTTATAGTAGAGAGAATAAATCTCTCAATGTAAAGGAGTATAATTGCTGCAGTGATCTATTTTGTATGTCCTGCCAGCAGTAATGCCTTTAGTGCTGCTCATAGTTTTGTCAAGCAGCAGCAGAGTGAAAACTTATTAGTTTTCACTGATGCCATTGGGATTTCTGAGAAACAGCAAAACCTGATGACCTAAGTTAGTCTCACTCCTCTCTTTACGAAAGTTGTGGAATTCAGTAGGGCAGTTCTGGAATCAGTGGTGTGGGCAACTCAGGAAACAGTGAGAATTATTTTCTCTTGCCCTTTCCTCTCCAGCAGCCTAATGAGGAGATCTTCTGTTGTCAGTCACCAGTCAGCTACAGTCTGCATCCACTGGACCAAAAGCATACTTCAGAAACAGTGCCCCTTGTAGGAATCCTGAAATCCAAGCACTGTCTTTTTTCCAAATAGCTGGGGAGAAGTTTAGCTTTTTGCTTGGGTGTTGCCCTTGGACAGTGTGTAGGGCTCCTCTTTCCTTTTTGCTCTTTTCTAATGGATTTATTTCTCTGGCATCAGATTCTGAGAAGATTTCTAACTCTTTGTATACATGGCGGTTGAGGAGATGATTGCATGGGAGGGTGAGTGGGAGAGAAATGTTAGATGGGGGATGAGTTAGAAAACAAAATATATCAAGTAAAAGGAGTCACAGAAAAGAATCTCCAATTATTTATATGGGAAAATAATATAAATTTAATTGAATTACAGCATACTAAAATTAAATAAGGTATCCAATTGACCATTTTATTTGCAGAATTTCAGGAGCTCCAGTATATAGTTGTCACTTAGTTAGTACCTGACAGGTGGCAAGTATCAGAGGTAGTTGTGTTAGTCTGAATATTCATAAACAATGAAAAGACTTATGGTGCCTTATAGACTAATAGATTTATTGGAGTACGAGCTTTCGTGGGCGAAGACAGGCAGGGAGGTGTGAATATCAAGAGATGGGAAATTGCCTTTGTAGTGAGACCCCGATTCTAAATCCTTATTAATTTATAATTTGATTGTTAAATTTGCAAATGAATTAGAGCTCTGCTGTTTCTCTTTGTAGTCTGCTTTTGAAGAGTTTTTTGTAGACAGATGGCTACTTTTAAATCCATTCAGACAATTGCTCAGACAGTATATTCACATTTGCAGGAAATAATGCTGCCCACTTACTTAGTGTCACCTGAAAGTGCAAACAGAATTTCATGGCACTGTTGTAGCCAGCATCACATGATTTGTTCCATATGAAATAAAGATTCATGTGCCCCTTCATACATTGTTCAACTTCCAAAGGACTTGCTTCCATGCTGATGGTGGTTTTGCTCAATAACAATCCAAAGCAATGAAGACTGACGCATTCATTTTCATTGCTTGAGTCAGATGCCACTAACTGGTTGACTTTTTTTTTTTTCTGTTTCAGGTTCTGTAATTTCTGCATCAGTGTTGCTCTTTTAAACCTTCTAAAAGCATCTTTCACACCTCATTCCTCTCAGATTTTTGGAAGGCACTTCAGAATCTTAAACCTTGGGTCAAGTGCTATAGCTATCTTTAGAAATTTCTCACTGGCACCTTCTTTGCTTTTTTATGTCAGATCTGCCTGAAGAGTGTTCTTAAATTGAGCAACATATGCTGGGTTGTCATCTGAGATTTCCATATCACAAAATTGAGAGTCATAAAATCACAACACTAGAAGTGGAAGGGACCTCGGGAGGTCATAGAGTTCAGTTCCCCGCCCTCACAGCAGGACCAAGCATTGTCTAGATCATCCCTGCTCTTAAATATCTCCAGAGGTGGAGATTCCACAACTTCCCTAGGCAACTTATTCCAGCATTTAACTTAGCTCCAGCCATGGCTCAGTAAAGCTTTTATGGCCATGCTCAACTTTCAGCCTGTGGGGCCGCATTATGGCGCAATGTGGGTAAAACAGAACAGGAGACATGCAATCCTCCCTCAAGGAGTTTTTAATTCACTCATTTTTTTTAAAGGAGCATTATTAGCATGGAATGGTGACTGAAGCATGAAGGTTAACATACCTGCCATGTAAATACTCCGCAATGCCAGTGACAAAACTGCCATGTGAATGCCTGTTCTCACTTTCAGGTGACATACATAAGAACCAGGCAGCATTAGCTCTTGTACATGTCAACAACATTGTCTGAGCGATTGTCTGAACAAGAAGTAGGACTGAGTGGACTCTTAGGCTCTAAAATTTTACATTGTTTTGTTTTTGAATGCATTTACTTTTGTGTACATAATTTTATATTTGTAAGTTCAACTTTCATGATAAAGAGATTGCACTACAGTATTTGAAGTGAACTGAAAATATTTAAACAGTAAAGTAATCATCGTTTACTTTGTATTCTATATTGTAACTGAATTAAATATATTTGAAAATGTAGAAAACACCCAAAATAGTTAAATGGTGTTTTTATTGTTATGTAACAGTGCAACTAGCTGAACTGCAATTTAAAAAATTGCTTGACAGCTCTATCTTTTTTACAATGTACATAAGCATAAAAATGTGCTCAATGAATGGAGACTTCTGTTTTGTAATGTATTTAACTGTTTTTTAGGGAATAGTTGTAATATTAAATTTATTGATTTGCTGCTGCTGTAAATGTGTACTTTCACATCCCCACATTTTTATTTCTGTTGTGGGGAAAAATGCTTTTACTAAACTGACTTCAGAATCCTAAATAAAAATATTTGTATGAAGAGATTTTTAAGATTTTGGATTGACACATTTCTAAAGCCTCTGATGTACCTTGGATTCTAAAGAGTAGATACTTTGACATTATTTAGTCAGAAGATGATTATAAAAGACCAGTAAGTGAAGGGTGGAGGGAGTACATGCCTTATTGCAGAAATACAAGAAACATGGAAAATTAGGAACTGTAATCAAGAACAGTAGCTTGTTACGATTTGTAAAGATTTGTTGAGCTGGAACCTGGTTACAATTATAAACTTTTCTGATGGTGGAAAAACTAAAGCCACTTTTTTTCCTAAACAACAAAAGAAGAGCTCCCAATCTTACACTGACTTCAAGGGAATTTGGGTAGCTGTGGGAATTCAGAGAATGCTTCCTCACACTGTTCAGAGACAGAAAGCTTGTACAACTTAAAAATATGAAGGTCATACAAAAAGTGGGTCAGGAATAACACAGCCTTGCGCATGTGCCAAGCAATGTCTTATGTAGGGTTTCTTTCTAGCTTTCTGATAGTACAGATAGTGCAGTTCTGTCCTGCCCCTAACCTGCCCGTTCTCCAAGGCCGTATCCTCATTTCACTCTGTTACTCCCTCTCCCCCACTCACACATTTTCACTGTGCTGGGACAGGGGTTGGTGTGCCGGAAGGGAATGAAGGCTCCAGATGGGGATGTTGGCTCTAGTGGGGCTGAGGGTATAAGGTTTGGGGTGTAGGAGAGGTCTCGGGATTGAGGCAGGTGAATGGCAGTG